GTTCTTGGGTGGGGTTTGTTGCCCGCTGGTTTCCCCTGCCGCTGTGGAGATGCTTATAAACCACGAGGATGTGGCGAGGGGGAGCCACGGAGGGAGCGGCCTTGCTGCCAGGGCACCCTCCACCCAAACCGTGCCTGCGCTGGGACGCGTTGGGAGCGAGCGCGGTCCCTCACCGCCCTTCTTTCAACTCGCCCTTCTTTCCTGTCCCTTGCGGAGGGAATTTCCTTACCCCCGTGTGTTGGTTTCTGTTCTCCCGCTTTCCAGCTGTGGGACTGCTCACCTTGTATTGCCCACAAAGCGGCAGCTGGGCATGGAGAACCCGAGCAACGTGAGTGTGCAGAAATGCTGCACGTCTTAGACTGGAGTTCAGGTAGAACTTTATTGTTAGGAGACTGGTGGCCGAATATGATCGCTTTAGATCCCTTATGTCACATCCTTTTCTTCTGGACCAATGGGATATGGTTTTCCGAAGCCTTTGTGCGTTCCTGTGTTTTCAGGAGAGCCGTTTCCTCTGCGCTCGGCTGGTTGCAGCTCTGGGGCCGACCTGCTGGGTTCGGACCCCCACGTAATGGGGCTCGCTGCAAGGAGTCACTTTTCTGTCCTCCTCCACCCCTATACAAAGCCAAACACTTCCTTTTTTTTCTGAAGCACTAGAGTGGCAAGAGAAGGGAAACAGAGCTATATGGCAGCTGCAGAGGTTCATGCATATTACTTGAAGAAATTTATTTTACCTAACCAGAGAACTTCCTGTGTTGGTTGCTGCGCATCTAAAGATCTAGATACGTGTAAGGCTGCATGCGTGTTGCAGCATTTCCTTCTGTGCTTAACTTAGGTTGCTCAGGGAGATGTTTACTTTTGACTTTTGCATTAGTTCAGTGTGTTCAAATGTATTTTGTTCCCTAAAAATCACTTTCGTCAAGTTTGCAAACGCTTTAATAAACACTCGAAGAACCTCCTGCGATCTCATTGTTCCAGAAACAACACAAATCTGTTCTTCACCCTATCCTGTATTCCTGGAGCACGGACACATTCAAAGGAATCCACAGGTGGATGTTTGAAAAGGATTAAAGAGAAAGTAGCTACAGCAGGATTTAAAAAAAGCCGTGTGACAATCTGCTCGGGCAAAGTGCTTCCGAACAGAGAGAGACAAGCACTTTATCTCTCCAGTGGGGATTACCTGTATACGATGGCAGGGTACTTTGTGAGTAGGATGACAGCAGGTGTGAAAACGGGGAAGAAAAATCAAGAGAATGTTCAGATTTTTCCGAGAAGAAAAAATCTTTAATTGAATTACAAATAACCCAACTGTCTCTAGCTCCGGCCGCAGACGTTACCTGCTTTGCATAGCTAATAGGCCTTTCCCCTTGTCCAGGCTAGTTGCTCTGCCTCCTTCCATGCTGCACGTATACTGAAATGACTGTGTTAATTTGCTAACCACCTCTGGTCTTTTTGATTCTCACCAGCAGATGCAGATAAGGTGGTTCAGAAAAATAAAAGATGTGCATGATCTTTTTTTCTTTTTTATCCTGAATTGCTCTTTCTTATTACCTCAATTTAGATCAAAGAGAGTGCAACTTTGACCAGAGATGTGCTCGAGCAACACTTTAATGATTTAAAAGGGACCCTAAAGAAGCTGCTGGATGAGCGACTGGTGTCACTGCTGCAGGAAGTAGATACTATAGAGCAAGAGAGCATCAAACCACTGGATGAATGCCAGAAGCTAATAGAGCACGGAGTCAGCACAGCTGATGAGCTGCTCCGCGAAGGTAAGACCTGGAATTAGGTCTTAGCTCTACCTTCTAGAACATCTTCTCTTGAAGACTGGAAGCTGCCTGTTATGATCAATAGATTTGGCTCATTTTGGGCAATGCCAGCTGCTACAAAGGGATTACAAGTGGGTAGATGTAGGAAAAGGACTATCAGTATTATCTCCTTCAAACACATCTTTTAATATTTCACTGCATGCCTAGGGTTGTTTGTACCTGTGTTAGTGTAGCTGCTTTTAAAGACAGCATCTATTTTCAGAAGAGCATCTTGCTGAAGAGCTGCACCCCAGGACCATTGAGAGGGGCCTATGTCCAGCTGCTTTAAAATAAAATAATAAAAATCTGTTGGTCTTACTAAGTTAGCAAATGAACCTGGCAGAATTTAATCTTGGAAAGTGGGTTCCCGCTAAGACCGAATGACTGAATGTTCTAACATTTGTGATTGCAGTTACTCACAACTTATGGAATAGCAATTGAAGTAAAGTAAGTCTTTTTCCTATAAGTGAGGAACATGAGTATATATGCTGCTATATGGAAGAGAGTTCTCCCAAGAGATCTGAGGATAAAAACAGACGCGTAAAGGGCAGAACGTGCCTTCCTGCTGCTCAATATCTAGCCAGAAAGGAATGTCACTCTTGACTGTTTCCCCACATTGGAGAACTTCCTTGGAGCGTGTCTCAGCCATGAGTGTGTTGGCAGTTTTCTTGCGTTGTTCTCATGTCTCAACTTTAACTTTCTTTCAACACAGTCTCGGTTTTGTGCATTAAAGTGCATGGAGCAGTGAGTCTCCCATGAGCAGGAAACCTGCCAGCTTGCGCTCAGCTGGGAGCTTGGTGCTTAAAGAACAGGCTGGCTTGGAAGTGACGGTATTTGAGAATTAAGTTGCTGGTTTCTTGCTAGTACTGCAGCCTCTGGAACAGCTGGTAGTTACTTGCTATTTTACATATACAGTCGCTGAATCACAAGGTGGTGACAAAGATTGCCTGTTTCCTACAAGTTTCTGTTAGATCTCGTGAGATGCTGTCTCGCTGTGCCCTTCCCATCCCTTGGGTCACAGTTCTCTCCACAGCAGTATAAGTGTTGCGAAGTCATGTTGTTAAAGCGAGCGAAGATTACATCTGAGTCAGAGAGGAGTTAAGCCTCCATGCTCAGTACACCTCTTGCTGCCAATTATGATGTGTGTTTTTCATTAGAGATTTGTAATCCTCCACTTGGAAACAGAGACTGAGCTTGCTAATGTTGCAAATTACCATAATGTCATCAGATAGGAGAGGGAACACACATCTCTGTCAGCTGAAGTGTGAGCCATGGCTTTACATGGAAAGCTTGTGAAGAGCTTTCTCTTTATCTCCACACTTTAATGTCTAGATTGTAATAAGCAGAACAGTGGTTGAAGTTATTTTTTGGTTTTAAGTTTCAACCTTTTCATACTCTCTTCTGTGAAGGTGCCTTGCCTTCCCCCCGCCCCGTCCCTTTAAAGCATATGGAGAAAAGGATTAAGAACCCACATTCCTGGCATCTGCCCCCAGTTCTGCTGCTGTCTGAGACCTGAGGCAAACTATTACATGTGTTGTGGGTGTGTCTGCAGAGGGCTTTGAGAGTTTCAAAAGTTGCTAGATATGCTTTATATTGTTACCTATAATTTTGTTTTCTAGCAAAACTGCTGAGAATGCTGCATGTTTAATTGGTTATTCATGTCAGAACTGGTTATTCTTTGAAGTGAAGAATGCCTGTCTTGGACATTTTCTCATTAGGAATATTTTTGCCATTTGATTCCAGGAGAGAGTGCAGTCCATGGAGATGTGGGACAAGAGAATGAGAAACTATGCAGCTTTACAAAAAAAGCTTTACATATTCAGCTAGATAGGTAAGATGCTGATACACTGATCTGAGGCAGCAGCACATGGGCTATCCTTTATAGAGGATCTCTTTTCCTTTGAAATAACAGCCCTCCACTGCATTGCCATAAAAGTTTTATTTGAGGGTTTGTTGTCCTGTTTATTTGGCAATCACAGATGGAGTAACCTGTGTAAAAATATAGGCTGTTTATTTGTGAATGATGAAATCACTCCCTATGGAACACTCTGTATTTGAGAGTGCTTCCCGAGAAGGAGTCTGGCTAAGACTGAAATGCTGGATCTTTTCTGAGTCTTTTAGGTTACAACTATACATGCCGATTCCCACAGCTGTTCTTTCCTCACAAAATCTGTATAAATTCAAATGTATGGAAGACACATGAATTGTGGGAGCTGACCCCATTCAGTGTGGCAAACTTTCCTTTCTCAGCTTACCAGAAGTTCCCTCCTTGGTCGATGTGCCTTGTTTATCCGCCCAGCTGGATGACTGCCTCCTCACTATACTGAAAAATCAGATATTCCGACATGGGACTGTAGCATCCCGCCCACCTGTACAGTTAGAGGAATTCGTTGAGAAGCCTGGAGGTATATTAGTCCGATGGTGTAAGGTACGTAGAGTATCCTGGGAGAAAATCAACACAGGCTTTTGACTTAGAGATAGAAGAGAATGGGAAATCATCCTCTAGAATAATTTAAGAAAGATAATGGCAAACTTCCTTTGCTGTTAAAAATTGGCACTAAATTTATTTTCCAAAATTTTCTTCACTTTTGGCTTCTTTGCTGTTAAAAATTGGCACTAAATTTCTTTCTAAATTTTCCTCACTTTTGGCTTTAGAATTTTATATTAGTTGGTTCAAGCTGACTTTATTTTCTGGGGCAAATTTTCTGTTCTTGAACACTAACTCTCTGAATTGCAGCCTGAATTCTACCCTAACATGTCCTATTCCATGGTGGAAAGGAGGTGGAAGGGGAAGAGCAGGGCTCCTCATTAATGTAATAAATGTTTCTCTAGGTGGACGATGACTTCGTCCCACAAGATTACAGACTGCAGTATAGGAAGAGCACTGCCAGCCACTTTGAAGACGTGTACGTGGGCTCGGAGACGGAGTTCATAGTGCTGCACATCGATCCCAACGTGGATTACCAGTTCAGAGTGTGCGCGCGCGGAGACGGGCGGCAGGAGTGGAGCCCGTGGAGCGTTCCGCAGATCGGCCACACCACCCTCGTTCCCCACGGTACCGTTTCCCTGCTAGTTGTCCTCATCCTAAGTCCGTGTCATAAGTGCAAGACTCCTCAAGGTCTATAGTTGAATGATTTTTGGAGCCTGTTTTTGCCTGATGGTGAGATTTCCCCACTTAAAATATGTGCGCGATGCATGATGCATTCTCATTCCATGCTAGAGTTTATTCTTTCCTTAATTTGCCTTTCAACTTTGTGATACGAGTGATTGTTAGTGAGCACTTCTACCAGGTAGCTCTGTCTCTGGGTTTGGAAAGTATCAATGAGAAACTTGGATGTTCACCACTTTTATGGATTCATATTTTATGAAATAAATGTGGGCTGTGTTCAGAATTAGTACTGAGGTGGGGCAGCTGTTTCTCTGCAGCTCATCTGAGCACTGAGTGCAAAGAGGAGCAGAGGATCTGAGCTTCAGCTTTTGTCTGGTTCCTGTGTTAGGACTTTGCCCTTAAGGTAACAGGGTGTTGCCCTCTTCTGAGAAATGAGCTCAAAAATAAGAAATTGATGAAAAAGAAGGCAGACTTAGACAGCGCTTACAGGCCAGAACTGAAGATTTTCCTCCTGCCCCCTTGTCTCCCACCCCATCATTTTTTGATGACCTGCATTCACAGAACAAGTTTATAATTCATTTGTAAAGCTAGTTCTGTTCTTGGCTGGAGACCAAAACTTCAGTTTTATCTTCTCTCTCAAAATTTTTAAAGGCAGTAGGTTTTGTAACTGAAAATGATTAGGAAAAGAAATCTCTCCCTCAGGGAAAACAGTCTCTATTCTTAACAACTTAAGCTTCATCAGAGGTAAACCTCTTATGCAGAGAATGCAACAGACTGTTTTTTGCGCAGATAATACCCAATCTGGTTGACATTCATCCTTTTTCTTTTTCTTTGAAGAATGGACAACCGGATTGGAGGGCTACAGTTTGAGCAGTCGAAGAAACATAGCGCTTCGGAATGACTCCCAGTCCTGCGGCGTGCTCTACTCCAAAGCTCCTACCTACTTCTGTGGGCAGACGTTGACGTTCAGGCAAGTACTTGCTGGATTGCTCTTGTCTGGTCCATCTGCTGCGAACGAAGCTTCCTCCTCTAGGCTGCTCCCTTGGAACTGTGTGCAGCCTCAGCACAGCCCCAGCCAAGGTATTTTGGGAGGATATGCACCTATTTAGAACAGAAGCTAGAGAGAACGCCTGAGGGATGGCAAAAAAATAGGCCAGGCTGAGCATATGTGTGGAAAATTCAGCTTCCTTTTAGTTTTTGTAGCAGCTGTTGTGGCTAAGCAGAAGTCTGTAACCTCTGAGAAAACCAGAGTGCTGATCACACTACTGAGTGCAACTGGCATTAGAAACCACTGAGGAGAGAAAGCATCTTGTGAAAGGCAAGCTTTTAGTTTGACCCAAAATGAGACTAAATGCCTTGGCATCTCTGCTGCTTTCAGTCCTAGCCATGAGATGTTGCTGCTTCTGGGTAAGAGGAACTTCCTTGTGGATATGTCACTTGTAATTACAGACCTCAAAGACTTTGAAGCTCTATTCCATCTTTCTCTGGTTAAATAAAACCGTTCTTGCTGTACAGTAGGCAACCCTCAAAGGCAACTTAAGAGGCTTGTTTATGGCATTTTTATAATTTATTCCATAGTGTTTCATTTCTGCCTTCCTGATAATGAATTATCTTGACTTTAGACAGTTTTAATGTAAGGATGTATTCATCTGCCATGTCAGAGATGGGATAAAGGCTTTCATTTGAAATTTGTTGTTAGATTTAATATCTCTTGGCTCAGAAGTGCCTGTGCAATTAAAGGCAGAACTTTGACGTTTCCCTCAGTTCTGTTTCAGACCAGTGCCTTTTATCTTCTTTTATTGGTAACACATGAAAATCTTCTGCTTTATAGTGTGGTTATGGGGACTCCTCTGCAAGAGGAGATTGTTTCAGCATGGCAGAGCACTAACAAGCACACGTCTGCAGGAGATGTAAAAGATGAAACGTAAGACTGAAGACAACCTCAAATACAGGCCTGAGTAGCTTTCTCTTTCAAAGTGCGTGTGAGATTTTGCTGAACAGTGAGATGTAGTATTTAGTGTTTGGCTTTTTCCATCTGTTGAAACAAAAATATGTTCACAAGGGGATAAGTGGCCTCCTGAGCAAACATGAGGAAGATTCATGTTACAGATGTTCGTGAAGCAGCTTTGTAATCTTCTTGTGAAGAAGCTCCTGACAGCTCTTAGGAAATGAAGTGCATGTGATCACTCATAGATTTATTCCTCTGTACTCTGAGACAAAGGGAAACTGCTCCATATACAGTAGTGATGGGGCACAAAGTTTTGCTCTGCAGCACTGGGAGTAGTGGGAAGGGACTCATTAAGCATCATTCCTACCATGTATTCTGCACACTTAAAAAAAAAAAAATGGAGCCTCAGGGATCATAGAGGCTGGCAAATAAAGTTAACTTGGTAGCAAGCATCAGTCTAGTAAAGCAAAGCTTAGGAGACTTTACAGTGATGCTGTGTACTGTTCCCTGCTCTTGACGTTGAGCTGGTTATTAATTGCTGGAAAAGCAAAATAGAAGTAAGGAAGGAATGGTGACCTAAGCCAGATCTTGGCCCTCTTCTGCACGCAGGCAGAAGAGGAAAGCCACTGTCTTGAGCATTTGTTTGCCAGTTGTTTGTTCATACTGCTGCTGAAGGTTACTTACTGACAGTATTCAGCAAAAATTGGATCTATATAAATGAGCAAGTAAGTGTGGGTACAAATCAAAATGATAGAGTTGCTACACTTCAATGAATTGACCATTATGTACCTCTTGTCATTCCTGTGTCTGTACAAGCATTTATTTCCAATGCAAAGTTGATGAAAGGCTCCCTTCAGTGGGATGGAATTAATTAGTTACTGTATGCACAAGGCTTTACCTCCCAAGTTTACAGATAATAGCACTTACTAGTGACCAGGTTTAAAAAAAAAAGAACATAGTACCAAAATGAATTATAAATCTCAGTTAAAGTTGTTTTGGGAAATCACTGTGGATCACTTCCACTTTTTTTTTTTCTTTGCTTAGCTTTACAACCCAAGTTTCTTTCTCTCTTAGTGACGTTTCCTGGGAGACTGAAAAACGTAATGGAGTGCAGAAGTAAAACACGGCTCCAGTTTGAGCTTCCCTGTTTGTCTTGAAAGAATTTACCCATTGTGTGCCAGTTTACTGCTCAATTTAATTTCCAGTTCTTAAAGCTTTTGCCTAGATTTTCCTGTTCTTTGCCAACAACTAAGTATCCACACTGCTTTGTATTATGCTGTAATGAAAATGAGCAGTTTTTCTGTGCATTTTAGACCAGCTGAGCTGGTCTGTTAGTAAAACTGAGGTTCCTCTATTATTTGGGCTCTCCTGGAAGTCTTATTTAGCACCTTTGAGGAATGGCACTAAAAGAGAAAGGCCGTGGATGCAGAAGTGCACAAAGGGTGCAGCTTTCCTCAGCTGCAGAGGCCGCAGGGAACTGCATCCCAGGGCACTTGCACAATTTTCTCATTCCCTTGAGATGTCACTTCTTTCTTGCAACCAAGATCTTTGCTGCAGCAGAGAAGCCAGGCTTGTAAATGCTCTTCCATGCATGGGTTTTAATATCCAGTTGCACAAAATGGACTTATTAAAACAAAACTCCTCAGCCTTCCCCATGCCCTTAATATAGCAGAATTAGAGAAATAAAAAAAGCTGCTTTCATATGAAGCTACCATTGAGCATGTGAATACTCATTAATGACTTGCTGAAATTACAGTTGTCTTGCCATAAAACATGGTGTTGACCAGTAATGTTATAGATGACTACAGACTGCAGTTTTGCGGACAGTAGTTGATTCTTATATTCTAATTGGAAATCATTTCAAAAGACTCGTAATCTATAATAGTGGAGAATTCTATTAAATGTTGGTGAAAACGTGGAAGTGGCAGGTTCACCTTTTGTGCAGGTCAGCGGTTACAGCATTGCTGGCAGAGCTTCTGGAAGGGCTGGGTAGGACCTTTGGTCACTCCACAAAGATCTCCCCTCAGGGCTGCTGGAGCAGGGATGACAGGGGCTTAGTCTCTGGCTTTCATTGTACATTTTGTTTTCAAGCTTCAGGCTTTGACTTCACTTTTTGCCCAGTAGAATTGAAACGGTGGGGCAGCCAGACCGCCGAGACAGCCTCGGGGTGTGCGTGGAGCAGCAGAACGGCTACGATTCCCTGCAGCGGGACAAAGCTGTGTGCATTAGCACAAACGGTGAGTAACTGAACATCTTTCCACTTTTTCCTCAGCCCTCATCCTGCATAACTTGCATGCAACTAAAACTGCATTTTGTGTACGTTCTACTTCTGCAATTAAGATATTTGGTAGGATCACAAGTCTCCTGTTCCTGCTTGCAATATTGTAACTTGCAACAACAGGGAAGCACCTGCTAGTGCATGCTGAGAGTGAGAAATAACGTTTGGTATCTTGGCTGTTTCAGGGGCAGTATTTGTAAATGGAAAAGAAATGACAAACCAGCTGCCTGCTGTCACTTCTGGATCGACAGTGACCTTTGACATGGAGGCGGTGCAGTTAGGGCCTTCCAGCAGCGAGGGCGGAAACTTCAAGCTCAGAGTAACCATTAGCTCTAACAACAGGGAAGTCGTCTTCGACTGGGTACTCGACCAGTGCTGCGGTTCTCTCTATTTTGGATGTTCGTTCTCATACCCAGGCTGGAAGGTCTTAGTGTTCTAGCAGCTCAAGGAAGTGAAGGGATTCTTGTTCTTGGTATAAAGTAATATTAAAGTCTGGGGTTCCAGCTGTTTGATACGAACAATCTGTTAACAAAAACCTGTCTCTATATTACTTGAACTCCACTATATTTTACTTTCTACTGGATTCATGTGAAAAGAAGTCATTGTGAAATTTCATCTATTACTCTGGAAAAAGTTAAGCAGGCATTTGCTTAGGCAAATTAATTTAAACAGTCCATAAAGACTTTTTACTTTTTTTTTTTTTTTTCCCTAGACTTGATTTTTATCAGTATTTCATTGTACTCTAGTCTCAGGGTACACTTGTGTGGAATTACCTTTGCTTAATGCTGCTGTTCTGTGAAATACGCCTGTAACTTTGGGAGGGGGGAGTTAGAGGACCAAAGCTTTCTTTATACCACGCAGAGAGCCAAGTAGCCAGAGCGGTGACGTTAGGCCCTGCTTCCTTGTACGTACCCGCTGCTGCCTTAGCCGAACAGGTAGTGGGCTCTGCATGCAATAGCCATTTCTTCCACACACGGTACTGTTCCTTCCCCCAGGACAAGGATTTCTGAGCCAATGTGTCTGTTTAAAGAGGGAGCCTGTTAAATGTCTCACGGTTATGCAAGTGCCTTATTTTTCAGATATTTCTTGAACTGTATCTTATGTTGTCACTTGAAATATATTTTCTAGAGTAGTTGCATGGTAGTACTTAGATCCTCACTTTAATACCTGCCCCAGCTCTTCTTTGCTTTGGTGGCTGTTTTGGAGCAGGCCTTGCTGCTTTCAGCGGAGGGATGAGATGCAGGTGGCAGCCGTGATTCCTCACAGAGCCCTGGAGTTCTTTGCTTTCTACTCTCCAGCAAGAGGCAAGTGAAGAAATGGAGGATTCCGGGCAATCCCAAGCACCATGTGCAGGATTATACCAGCAAACGCCTTGCATCCAAGTGCAGTCGTGCAGGTCACTGTGCCAAGTGCTGGGGACAGGCTGAGCTGTGAGATGTGGCACAGCCAGAAGCAGCTCGGGAGTTAGTGGAGATGGGTGTTAGTTGTGGGGTTAAGAACTCTGGCACATATTTAGCCACTCAGATCGGAGCAGATAGTGCTAACTTAGCACTGTGCCCTCCATCAAGTAGCATGGGCTAAGAATTTCCTGTGAATTAGTCAACTTTTATTTTAAAAAGCTATACAACATTATACAAGTTTTGCCTTAATAGCAAATTATACTTAGAATACACTTGTGAAGTAGAGCCCTATTCCTGCTCAAAAGGTTAATTTGCAGTACTACTGGATTTAAAGACTATTTTTTAAAAGTGCTGAGGGCCTTAAAGAAGTCTTCTTACCTCAAGAGCAATAAATATATATTTTAGCATGTTCGAAAAGCAGTATTTTTATAAAACCTAGACAATCATCCTACCCTATTCCTTCAGTGTTAACACACTGCATTAGCATTCTGTGCTGGCATAAAGAACTCAAGTGGACGAGTGTCCCCGCGTCTGAAATTATCCACACAAAAAGATTAGTCATCCTACCTGTAGTTTTTCTTCTAGACAGCTGTAGGGGGGGTATGTGAATCTCAAAAGCAAGCAGAGGCTAATATTTATATACTTTACAAGGAGAAATAAGTTCAGATGCATGCAAAGAATGTGTTTAGGACAGCTGCATTGGCATTTGCTGTAAAATACAAAGTAAAAGAGACCAGACATCTGCAGGTAAGACTAATCAGTGTTAGCAAATACAAGCCTGCTGTATTTCTAGCTCCCCACACTTAACCATTTCCCTGGTAGGGAGTCAGAAAGTAGTTGTTTATCCTGTACTTCTGGGGCTTCTTCTCTCAAGTAGCCTGCAGGGAGCGTTTTCAATAAGGCAGTGCATCCCCTAGGCCAGGCCTTAGCTAGAGCTGGGAAAGCCCAGGAGGTGGTCAGGGAGCAGCAGTCCTGCCTGCAGCCAGCCGGGCTGGCAGCGTAGCTAGCAGCTGCCCAGCCACTGCTACACAGCAACATTGACTGTGCTGGTAAAACTTCAGGCGCCAGGAACTAGCTCTAACGTAGTGTTTTCACTCCAGGAAAGCTAAATTAGCAAATACCTACACTTCTAGGCATCGAAGGGTCAGGTACCTCTTCATCTGCTTTGAGAGCCTAGTCAGACCACTGACTGTCAGACTACTGCTCTGGGGGCTATTTACCAGCATCCTGGAATGTGAAGTGTAAATCCTCACTTCAGGTACTTCTGGAGAGGGTTTTGTGTGTGAGCTTGTTCAGACTACGCTGACCAAGCCTAGGATTAGTGTGAAGGACTAGTACAGTCCTCTGGCCCCTCTTGGGAGCTCAGGACACCAATAAACTAAATGCTTTTCCAACATTGGTCTTTAGCTGTATCTAGAACCAGGCCAGCTTGCCCATTTTCTTGTTTTTTAAACTAAGTATAAGACTAGCTGCCTGCAATACACATTAGGTACTGTTCAGCTGCCTCTTAGAGCTGCACCTTTTAAATGTGGGAGGGGGAAAGAATCTCAGGGTAAGAAACCTGAGTAAGAGGTATTAAAAAAAAAAAGCTGAAGAGGTTAGATTAAAACAATTGTTACTGTAGAACAGTTTAGATAAATAAAAGACTTGACACTTCCTTTACAGTCTTTCACCTCTAGCTCTTGGAGCCTTGCAAGCAACTGAGTGTTAAGTTATGAAATCCTGAAAGTTGTTTCCTGAAGCTAGAATATTCACTTACCTCATCCAAGACATTTGTGTCAAGTGATATTTGAATTTTCTAAATAAAGTTTCATCCTTAACTCTGTATTGCTGAGTTAATTGTTCAACAGGGGTATAAAGCTGCATATTGGTGAGCTCAATTACCACAACCATCAAAAATAGTCTGGCTACAGCACTGCACCCATGTTTAAGTGCTTCTCCATTTCTTTTCCAATTACTTTCATCTTTACTCCCTCCAAAGTTCCAAAAAAGTTACTGCTGAGCTTCCTCACGTCTGCAGTTACTTTCATTTCCCTTAGAAGTCCACCACGTTCTTTACTCCATTTTACTGTTACCATGTTTTTAAAGTTGCTTTAAGTGCTGCAACAATTCTACATGTTAGTTTTTGGCCAACATTATTGACTGAGCAAGAACCAATATTGTTTAATCCTCTTCTAATAAAGTCCATATTGGACAGGCACAGTTTCACTTTAACTTATTTCTGCTTTCTGCTGCCAACTCCATCACTTTGGTTTATTTTAAAGGGAACTTAAAGCTTGAAACCAGTGAATAAGCTTGCTGACAAGGCAGCTTGTTCTCATACTGTATTTATACAAAGAACCTGCTTAACATTAGGATTCTGAGTATTTCTCTCAAAGACAGCATGTTCGACCTCACATCAAGTAACTGCAACTATCACAGAAATTAAAGTGTTCGAAGGGGAAACTTACTTCATCCAAAGATCCTTTCCTTGGTTGTGCAGCACTGGACTACCGGATTTACGATGAGGATCTGGTCCCGCAGGAACACCTTCACTCAAGCACTGGTTGACGATGGCACCCAAATGTTCTGTAAATTAAGAAACACTTAACTTGGAAGGAAGCATGCTGTGAGGACAGTTTTGACAATAGCAGTGATTCTCAATGAAGATAAAAAACATTTGAATTGGGAGGAAGGGGCAAATACACTATTTAACACTGATTTAGATACTCGTATCAGAGCTTACCTTCAGGCTTGTGGTTCACAGACCTAGTGTGTTAAGGGTACCACCAAATATAGAAGATCACAATCTGCTGTGAACATATAACAGGCCATATTAAAAAAGCTTTTGCTAGCTGTACAGAAAATACACATTAGACAACTACAGTCTAGTGCTTACCTGTCATATCCTCTATTTCAGCATCCAAATTATTTTTAACTGGGAAAAAGTTTCAGTGCCTGCTATTCACCACCCAGTACACTCTGATGAGCAGCACAATTCCTCTTGGCCCGTATTACCTAGACCATCTTCCTTTACAATCTTAGAAAAGCACAGATTCCGATTTTCAACTCTGCTCAAAATAAAGCATAGTTACAGCCGTAAAAACTACTTGAAACATTAACCATTTGCATGTTAAAACAGAAAACCCACGCAAGCCGTTCATTTTTACAACGGAAACAGCAATTCATGTGACTTTGGTTCAGTAAGATAAACTGCAGCTCTAAACACCAATGCACACAGCTTGGATCTCACGTATTCAGTTCCACCCCAAGAAAGCAAAAATACTATTTCCACAATGTAGCCCTGGACTTGACAATTTAAATAGACCCACAGGCCTGGGTTCTTAGCCACATCTGTAACAATCTGGCAAAGGAAGCACGTTAAGGTAAATTGAACCAAGCAGAAGAGGAAGCTTGCACTAGATGCTGCTTGTGGCCGTTCTGCATGCACAAAAAAATGACTGGACAACCATCATGGCAGATTTTATATTACTGAACTTTATGTACAAAAGCCGATTTCAAATAAAACATTTAATGTAAAAACAATGGTTCATTTAAACAACCAAACTTGTTTGTTTTGTTTTGTTTTTTACATCTACTGTACCATTCAAATGCTTTTTAACCAGCTTACATGATATCTTCAAAATCTCTCAAAGGTACATATAGAAAAGGCATCTTTATAAATAGAAAACAAAGGGATTTTTTCAGCTTTTATTATAAATTGACATGACATACAAAGTTTACTGGACAGAAGTAATTTCATTACTATTTTTGGGGGGATCACCAACTTTTTGTGCAAACAATGCTAGCCTTCTTTTAAGCATTAAGAGCATAACTGCTTAAGAAATGACATAAGCAATAATTCTAGAACTACATCTCCCCTAAAATAATCTATTTTTTTACATATGTGCACAGCTTTAGCAAATTAAAGCCAGAGAGAAATGCTTGATGTACTATCCAGAGGCATAATTAGAGTTTGCTAAAACTCAGAGAGCTGGCAAATTCAAAAAGTTTGTAATGAAAGCTGCAGTTTCCCTCTTTCCTATTTTTGTACACAAAATCAGTGACTAAGAACTTAATACTGGATGACAAATCACATCCACACCATTAGTTAAATAGTCTCACAGTTAAACACAATCTTAAAGGACCATCAAAATCAGTATTTACATTTTATAAATTTCTGAAGACACCATTAGAAAGCTTATATACCCCTTAAACAAATAGGGAACTGCATCTCATGGTGATGGAATGAAATAAAAAATTAAAAATACCTGTATTTACAGCAGCATTGTTCCTTTATAAATAAAGAATATGAAAAATGCAATATCTTAAGGATAATAAAAAATTGAGGTGATGTCACTCAACCACAGTGCTTGCTGGAATAAACCCTTCGGTGCTGATACTGTACCAGTAGTGAAACCACTTTCCATTGGAAAAAATCTGTAAACGTATGCATAAAATGTGTTAACAGCAGTGCAAAACTGCTCAAATATAGTTTAGTCAGCATCTTAGTATCTGTATTGAATACAATACATCACAGAATACTTGCATAAGAAGTGCAACACATTTTCTGGTCCAATTTTACAGTGCATTTTTCCCTCAAGAGTGGCATCTCAAAAGCCAAAGCTAAACCCACGGCCTGGACTTGCAGTCTGTGCTCAGGCGAAACAGCAGGCATGAACTTCCAGGGAAGTTGGTCGACGAAATGCCTACGTGTGACGACAGACTCCCGGCTTTAGCATGGCACACGGCGATGCGCGGCCCCGGCACAAGGGGCTTACATCGAATAGTTTGTGTAGCTGTGTAAATGTGTAATAAAAATATAAACTAATGTTCAAGTTTAAAATGGTACACTGGGTGATCAATACATCAGAATTATCCACGAAAAACCAAACTGCTGGTAACCTCAAAAAGCCAAGGTGGTACTTCACTGTGTCTGTAACATGAAAAGCCAAGATCTTTCCAAACAGGCACAAGACAAAGGAAGTGCTAAGTTTGCAAAATTTCATAATTTTAGTGTAAAAAAAAAGATTTAATTTGTAATTTATGATCAAATTAATAAATGATTTCAAATACAAGGATCGAGGTTAAACTTTAAATAGTGAGACGTTATTTTCACAAAAAGCTAACTGGAGAATTTCTAAATAAGAAAAGCATAAACTGTATCCCAACCCCCTTTTCCCCAATATTCCACAACTTCATGGTAGGTAATTTTAGTGTAAAAAAAAAGATTTAATTTGTAATTTATGATCAAATTAATAAATGATTTCAAATACAAGGATCGAGGTTAAACTTTAAATAGTGAGACGTTATTTTCACAAAAAGCTAACTGGAGAATTTCTAAATAAGAAAAGCATAAACTGTATCCCAACCCCCTTTTCCCCAATATTCCACAACTTCATGGTAGGAAAAAACAGCCAGATACAGATGCAAAAATCTTAATATAAAAATTGTTTTACATATACTTAAATTATGAAAATTCCATAAAGTTCTTAAGACACTAATTACTAAAATTACAAAAAGACTTTCATATTGCTCTTCATGCTCAAACTCTTAGAATATTGTCATTACATCACCAAAACCGATATACATGTAGTACTTGCATAATTAACTGAATAGAAACCCTGTTAAAACAATATCCTTGCTGAAATCATTTATTTCCATCCAGCAGTGCCTGTTTGGAATCTCTGCATTGTGTGTAATTCTTTATAGAGCTCATGTACCCTAGAATGTCACTTCAATGTTTGTCCGTTGAATGGCGTTTCAGTTTTGACTTCAGAGTTTCTGCTTCTTGCTCTGTTTTGTGACACCTGAGATGCTATCCATTTCCGAAATTCTCTCTCTCATATTATTTTCACTGAATCCATTTGTCGTCCCACTTTGTTCTTCAGAAGATTCCTCATCTACTGGGGAAGCAGATTCTCCCTTTTCTAACTTCTGCTGCATCTCCCGAAGCCTGGCCACAGCTTTGTCTATCGACATTATGCTGATGAGGTTAAAGTCATGCATGCTGACCAGATGTAGCATAAAGTTTCGACATAAGTTCTTCTTAATTATTTTCTGTCCATAATTTTCAACAAACAGCATACAGGCATGATTCATTTGATTGTCAGCAATAAACCTGTCAAGTCAGAAATCCATCGTTACGCGAGGTAAACATTTTCAGAAATAGAAGACATCCTTCAACATGGCTTATCAAGATAACTGCAGAGATTGTCCATTATGTTGTCTCAATATCTGCAATGTTTTTGTTTTCAAAGCCATAGAGCTATGTACAAGATTTTTTTAAAATTAAAACAATACAAAGCACGTTAGCAAATCATCCTTTATGAACCTTTCCTACACCACTGAAATGAATTAGGTGCTTAGCAAATTGCAGTACAAAACAGTCACCCAAAGCTATACTATTTGCATCAAAACTAAGTTTATAACATACCCGTGCTTCATAACATGAAGATTCCATAATTTCATCACTTCTTTCTCTCCTTCGTTAACATCAGAAAATTCTTCAATTTGCTGGAGGGGGAAACAATTGGAGGAAAAGACAGGAAAAGAGAGAAACATTAGAATTTCACATCTAGTGACAATTAATGAAAGCATACTTAAATTTCTGCTTATGAACTCTACACAGAAATAACTGCTTTTGAAGATTAAGGTACTGCAATCAAAAGGATCCGAACAAAGTCAGCTCACATAGGAATCTACGATGATCAATTATTTTCCACATTATACAGATACCACTGTACTCCTGTGACACAAGCACCTCCTCTTCTAATGAGGAACAGGCACAAAGTGATGAAAAAAAAAAACTTATCATGAGGACCGAGTTAAATTTACAACTAAAGACATACTTTAAGCACACACTTTGATTCCATGAATTTATATAAAACACTCTAGATGTTAGTGGCTCAGCTTCACAAAATACTCTACTTATTCTCAAAGTGAAAGCACGTACCCTATTTGTTCCCCACAACACCTGTAGACCATATGTTAAAAAGTAAGATGCATTTTAAAAGCAGCTTGTTTAAGGGGAATAATTACAGTAATGGTCTTCTCCCGTAGCCATTCGGGGTCTTTCTCATCCTCACTATCTACTTCCATTTCTTGTGGACGGAGAGGTAAACACGTGTCACTGTGAAAATATAACCGATTGTGTCCACTGCTGTATGTCCTTTGCTGTTCCACTTCTCCATCTTCAGATTCAAGAAATTCTGACATACTTGCTTTCGTACGTTTTGGCCTAGCAGAACGGAAAAAGTAATTATTTTCAGCTATCAAATCAAATATGCAAATACTAACTCTTCCTATTAGTAGTAATAAGTCTAACCTAAATTTTTCAACTTTTTTTTTTTTTTTTTTAATCACTGGTGAAACAGCCCATAAGAAAAAGAACAAAACCACTATATCTTTTGGGTAAGAGAAGTTCTAGGATAAAGTCAAAAAGAAGGCACCTCATGAATAAATTCAACAGCTGCAGAAATATCACAGGTGAGTACACCATTTCTTACCACTACTTTCATTCAACACTGCTTACACGCAGCTACAACTTAACAGATCCCTAATTTAATAAATTTTGGCCCCTATCACACAAGCATACACAGACTTTCTTTTAAATATACCTACCTGCATACAAGTATGTGTGTGATAGGGGTTCTTTTGACTGGTCCATTGCGACTGAAGGCAAATCCAGGTTGGCGATGAATATCCTGAGGATTTCCTGCATAGGAGCCATCATAACACTCATTGATAGATACATCTATCCTAGCACCTTTTGGATGATACTGGAACAGATAATTGCAAATATATTTAGGAAGAAGTAAAGACTATTTCAGAAGTAACCTTTTAAATTCCAAATACCTAAAATACCACTCTATCAATTATTTCACACAACTCTAGATGCCTTTTACAACATGCAAGTCATTTTTAACCTCTAGAAGCCAATTACACTACTTCAGTTTCCTTAAGTTCTATATGCCACACTACTGTCAAGCAAGTCAACGACTCAAAAATAATTATAAACTAAAAGACAACACTAGCAGAAGATGGTAAACGGCCTGGAAACTGGAAGGAGTAAAGAATGATCTTCTAAGCAGGGTAGAAACAATCTTTCTCTAACAAACAGGAAGGAATTTCATTCAGATTGTTAGAAGGGAATGATCTTCTAAGCAGGGTAGAAACAGAATCCTTATCAGTATAATGAAGTTATGTATACTGCCTTCCTAAAACCTCTAAAGACTTTCCACCAAGCATACATTATATTACTTGCTACATCACATAAAAAGAATAATTATTGTCAAAGCAGCAGCCTTAGTCAGAATTCATTGTCCAGGGGCTTGGGTGGCGAAAGAACTATAAAAAAACCCTACAAATTTTAATTACCCATATAGTATACAAACATTCATTTAATTGAAGTCAAAGAAAGTTACGCTTAACCTGCAGATACAGTCCTACACGTTAATAGACTAGCAATGAAGTTAATACATTATATAGTATCTACTACAGATTTTATTATGTTTCATGCTAATGAACAATAAGATCACTTACAACATAATTAAAGATAAACCTGCTGTGACAGAGTTTCAGATGTTTGAGTAAACTATACAGTTTACGACAGTTCAGTGTGCACCATGGGCAGTGCAGATCATCTCGGGCTTCAGTCTGTTGTCTTGTATTATTGTTATAAAGAAACTGTCGCAAACAAATAAAAAAATATTATTACCATCAAATACATCGAACTCATTAACCTTCCACCCATAAAACCAAGTTGGACACAACTTCAGGAAAGCTCTACCATAAGTTCTTAGGAACATTAGATCAGCTCAATGTACTGAAACAATGGTATTTCAAGAATTTTTTCCCCATAAGAAAAGCACCTGCCTCCCTCCAGGCGTCTAATGAGAGACGTCCTTTGTATTTCAAAAGATGTGTCAGACATAGCCCCAGGAAGACTAATTTTCTAAAATACTTCCTGTGAGAAGAAATACATGGAACTGCTCATGCTATGTGAATCTGCAACCCATAAGGCAATCTCTGAGAATACAAATAAGACAGTTCTATGAACAAAAAACTTGCACCCAACTTAGATGAAAACATTTTACCTCCATGCAACATTTACTCACTATTTCTCTCCCCGCTAACAGTTATTTTCAATACCTGGTAAAATATTCGTAATTTTTGTCGCGGTTCATTTAAAACATCTCTCTCTCTCCTTGTTTGAAGATCTGTTGGCAAGGATTCTTTCACAGCTAAAAAAAATTAAAAAAAGCAAAATAACATGGAGACACACACATTTCTGCTTAGTGTGAGGTTAAAAAAATAAAAGCACACCTTGTGTTTCTTATCAGACTACAGAAATTCTGTGAAGGGCACTCTCCTTCTGGAGGGAACCAGCTACGGTAATGAACTATGGCTTAGGCAGCTCTTCCTATCAGCAAGAAGGCTTGCTATTCAGCTTCCTTCAAAATTTACAGGTATCTAAATGGATCCACAGTTTTGAAGAACCCTTCAGAGAACTTAAACATCATTAGCCAAAAAGCAACATTTTCTTTTGTCCATTTAATCAGTGAGTAATTCTTTAGCTGTAGCTGAAAGCAGAGTCTACAGTTACTTATTTCAATATTGCCATGACTTTAAAAGCTGAAAAGAGTTATGGCATTAAACTTACCTTTCAAAAAGTAAATTATGAGATACATGAAGCCCATTCATTTTTGTTTTTCCATGTTTAAGATTACCTGAAGTTGTTGCACTGGAACACGAGGGACCTTATGGCATGTAAGTGCTAAGGAGATTACTATTCAGCATCAAATTAAGTTTGCTTACCTATAGTCTGAGTAGGTTTAACAGAATTGGGCTTATTTTCTTGAGGGAGGCTTTCAGAATTTCTTGTTGCTAGAGGCTTAGCTATAGGAGCCGTAGATTTATCATTTGTGTCTCCTGTCCAGCGAAGAGTAAACTGAAGTGTAGGTCCCTGAGAAAATGTTTCAAATGGAGGCAACCTCTAGAAAAAAAATAGACACAGTAGTATTAGCATCTTCCAATGCACAAAAACAAGCCATGCAAAAATATTTACAAATATTCACAAAAAGGGGATAGACATCTTTTAACAATCTAGATTAAGAAAGTCCCTGCATTTTCAATATCTACGCTTAGATATATCACAAAAAAAAAGAAAAAAAAAAAAAAAAGAAGATGCTCTATGACTTCCTGTACATTGCTGACCAAGTCCTGGATAGCTCTTTTCCCCCTTTTTCTCTTTTTTTCTGCTTCTATAGTTTGTTCCTTTTTGTCTGACTGGCATTTATTAAAATAGCTGAATTTGATTTGTCCCATTTTAGGAAAGAGAAATTCAGAAGGTATTACAAGAGACAACTGCCATACCTAGAGTAGCTTTTAACATTTCTTTGAGTAATAGTCTCATGTGGTCAAAGCTTTTTTAAACAAGAGCTAAAATCAAAACATGCTTTGTATATCTCCTGAAAGAATAGTAGCATTCCTTGCTTAACTTAATCCATTTTCAAAGGAACAGCTGCTGCATTTTGAATTTGTATTCCACCTTAATCAAGACTATTTTAAGGGAAGACAAGTCCTTCAGGTAATAAAACAGTCTTTACCTTTCCATCAAGTATAGTTTCCCATGTTGCTCTTTTCTTGCTAATGGGACACTCTTCCATTTCCTGCATGGCCACTTCATATTCCCCATCTAGAAGCTGCAAGCGTCTGTCAACACAAAGTATGTATTTTGAGAATAAAAGCTCACTTTTATTTGTGTTGTTTGTCCACTAAAACGCAGACTATATTTCAGCATTTAAACAAAACATTTCACACTAACTTTCATGAAACTAAATACAGTTTTTCAGGCAAAATCATTTGGTAACACAGCCTAAGTCTGTAGGTAAACACCATCCATAACGTAAAAGGTGTCTATTGACAAACTTTAATTCAAATCCTCGTGAAAATAAACCCAAAAGGAAGCTAATCTTAATAACAACTAATACTACAATGAGAATCTTGAGACGAATATATAAAACATTTCCTTAAAAGTCCTACACCAAATAAAAATCTTCTAAAAGTGTATTTGGATAAATAAGCACTTTTTCAGAATCCTGGTGTCGAGCTATATTTTAAATAGTTATTTCCTGAATCTGTATTTTTTATTATCAAAGAACTGATCTAGATACCCACCTCTACCTGGGTTCTAGATTTCCTACAGAGAGGACACTTAAATTCATTTGCTATACTTTCTTCTCAGAATAACAAAACAGACTGTTTCTCATCATAAATACCAAGATTTTGGTTGTTGCCACTGCTATCATCTCCCCCAGGACAAACAATACAACATCCACAGGAAATGGCACTTTGCTACTTATCTTCTGCATTATCGGGATTGCTCTAATAAGCTATGGCTACATGCAAGTTGCCCCTATCCCATCTTCTTAGTACATTAACTAATGTCGAGGTAACAAATATAAAAACATTTCAACACACTTAAACTACCCAACAGAGTAAGCTTATCATCATTTTAACTGCTTGGTTAAGCACTTAAACAGTAACAAAGTTACATAACATGTTTTTTTATTGGAATAAGTAGCATTATATTATGCTATCAAATAAAAATGTAAGTAGCAACCATACTTTAGCAACCATACGCGTTTTTAGTTATGTTGTCACTGGTCCATAACAAAACCACAGAAATCAGTCCTGGAACAAACTGATGAAGATTAACAGAACAATGCTCAAGATCATAAAATGGAATTACCTGCAATTGTCACTAAGTACTGTGAAACCCACGTAAAATATGTGCTGTGAAACACACAGACTATTTTTTTTAAAAACAAGTAATTTAACAATAAAGCCTAAGCAAGCACATTAGCTACCAACTCAAATGCAAAAAAAAAAAGTCTGCCAACAATGAAATTCAAAACAGTTTTAAGTTTAATACTAAACAGCTTCCTAAGAAGTAGAAGAAACACTATTTATTTTAGATAATATTACCTGTTTTTATCAAACACAGTCATTTGTGCTACAAATGTCTTCTCCCCATCTTCACGATTTGAAGAGTTTCTTTTTCTTCTAGCTGGAAGTTCCTCATTGACATCTGCATATAACAAATATTGCATTCAATTATTATACAAATTCAAATGCCTGCAGTGTAGATTAAGATAACCATATATAAGACTACAAGGTAAAACTTGCAAAATCATATAAAGATTGAAGTTACCAATGTTTTCATTGGCTTCACCATTGATCAGTCCATTAAACTCTCTTCTTCCTGGGCGAGTTACTCTGAATAATAACGAGTAAGACTTCACCATATGGCTGTTGCTTGGTTCAAACTCATTGCTGGAAACTGCAAGCGATGGAAAGTTGCCTGGTTTTATTTGGCTGAGGTCTGGGTTTAAAGGCACCTGCTTTTTACCTGTAGGAACCTGTCTTATCGGACAACTGACATCCTGCAGGAAAACAAGAAAGCTATAACTTAGTTTTTTTAGAATACAAAATATAGACATTAAGTGATAAATTTATATAATCCATGAATTGCACTTGCCCTAATGTCTTTTTGAAAATTTTTTTTTAAATGACATTTGGAAAGTCATTAATGCTAATTTAATTCTGTTTACCAAAAGAAATTAAATGTTTTGGTTATATACATATTCCAAGGGCTTCCTATCTTTTCCATCCAATATTACAAAGTGCACTTACAAGCTTTCTGAGAGATAGAGAACCACTCACCTAGGATTTATTATATACAGTATCTCTCAAATACATCATGGAACACTGTGTAATATTGGAAAAATAAGGCAAAAAAGCCTAAGTATGAAATTTGCAACAAAACATACTTAAAATAACCACGACCATCTCCTGTTTTTATCATATTTGTCCATACCATAGCAAGACAAAATAAATTTTAATAGAAACATTAACTCCTAAAAAAAAAATCCACATCACAACGACTTGACATGAAAATATATGAAATGGGGGTGTAAACCTTTTTTCCCTCCATAAAAAAAATAAAACTTGCATTACTGAATCTTCTATTTTTCTTCAGCAGTGAGGATAATTTTCCCCACTGGCATGAAACAAACCCAGCTAACGTAGCAAGCAAATTCCAAGATTCCAAGAAAAAAAAAAATGTTTATGAGTAATAATATCTAAAATCTGCAATAACCGAGATGATCAGAGTGAAAACACAGGTACAGAAAAAAGCAAGGAAAGAGACAACATTCTGGTGACTGAGGAACTGAAACAATGACCAACTTTTTTCCTTTTTACTTCTAAACCCTAAAAGATAGACTATTTTACGAATTTGTGGGTGCCTACTTAAACCTTTAGACATGAAAATACAATTAACAGAATAATTAGAAATAAGGTTTGAGCTTAGCAAAGGCATATAAAAAAATGGACTGAAAACAACTGGCTGAAATTCACAACAAATGAGTATGACTTACAAGCAAGAAAAATTAAATTAGTGCTGAATGTTTTTTACAAAAAACATTCTAGTTAATTCTCAGGTAGTGGAGCAAGACCAATACATATTTGTTTCTGAAGAATTCCTTACCGGTCAATAGAAAACAACTTACAATTTAGTTGTCAATAACTTTCAGGGCTAAACTAGTCTTTCAGCATCATCTCACCACTAGCTTCCAGTATGGCAATGTTAAATAGACGTTCTAGAACAAAGTATAACTTGCTTTAGCATACATACATAGTAGTTTGTCAAATCACTTTTACCTTGCGCTTCTTGTGGCAAACTTTCACAAGCAGTACTTCCAGGGTTACTGAATTTTGTTCATTCTCTGAGTTTTGTGATGGCTTATCTAAACAGAAAAAAACATGTAATTTCCAAAAGATAAAAGTCTATTCAATGCTGTAAATCTCCCTGAAATTGCTTTAACTGTATTCACTTTCAGACACAAATTTTGAAAATATATTTGTATTTAAGAAGCATCAGTATACAGACACCTTTTTTCTACACTACTCTGTTCTTATCTGCAGCTGCCAAGACACCTTTATCTCTTGCAGTTTTCCTCTCTAAAGCACTAAGGGCTATGTATAATATGAAGTTCCGGAGAACAGAAACAAGAGGAATACTATCCCATGAGACCAGCAGTATTTTAAAGATACTTATACTTCTGAAGCTTCAACCAAGAGACAGAAAGTAGTTTCTCAGAACAAAATTACAGTTCAATAAAGCAGCGATGCTAAAATTTGGAAATTTGCCACTGTAACTTTTAGATTTCTTACTGAGCAGATCTGGTTAAGCACAAAATACTCTGAGGGAACATGACAGCTTCCAGATCAGAGCACAGAACCTGTTACATGACCTCAAGCACTTTTTAAATCCAAAGACTTAAGACTTCATTCAGGATATTTTTAACCGAAAGATGAGAAACTCCAATTTATTTAAATAAACAGCTAAGTTTTTATTTGCAGGGAAGTAAAAAGTAAATTTACTCATGTCTGCACAGCATAAAGGCAATTGCTGCTTTAGTTAAAGGAATAGAGCCTTACATTCTCAACTTCATAGTCCGATACTGAGATTTTAAGAGGTAATGCTGAATGTCATGCATAAAGACACAACAAAACTGCAAGTAACTATTACACATACTAAAATGCACTAATACAAGTTACTTTTATAAAACCTGTTCTGGACTTTGTCTTATTTCTAGGCTCTACCTGATATCATTTATTTTCATGCTTATATTTTGAATCCCAAAGCATTGAATCTACTACTTGAAGGTTTTTGTTTTGTTTAAGATTTACTTCAAATTCCCAAAAGTCGCATTTTCATAAAATCACTTTCTTCAGGAACAACTCAAGGTCTATTTAAAGTTTGAAAGGATGATGGCTTGAAGTATTTATCAAAATCACTGTGTTTTGACTAAAACTCTGGAAGGCTTATTTGCTTAACATTACAAATATGCTAAAGCATATCTGAAGCACACACAGTGAAAAGCTACACAATTTTCGGTCATTAAAAGCAAAATTTGAAGTACTGTAATTAATGGGACAACTGAGTATAAAGAAAAACTGCGTCTAGAGAGCAGAGTTTCTAACAGACTACTTAAATATTCCCCTCACAATCTGTACTAACTCCGAAAGCGCTATACAAAGCAGTATGATGAATGAATTTTGCAAACATACCATTTTTATGGAAGAAACCAGTAAACGTGAGTTGCAAATGAGCAGACAAGCTAAACAAAAAAAAAGAAATTTTGTATTAGAATAAGCAAGTATTTTGCCCCTCACAGCAGACATGCAATTCACTGATTTTCAGGACAGATCTCCCATGAAAGGAAGAATCATAGTGAGGAGGTCTGTCCTCTAACTGCTTGGAAACTGCTAAATACAGCAACCATAAGACTGCAACAGATGCAGTCATAGATGGGTCTGCTCTTTACAAATCAAATGATTCTTTTTCTCTTACCCATGACTTGAGACAGAAAAAGGTAGAGGTTTTTGCACAACACTATCTGAAGCATGCACAGGATCTTGCCTTCGTGGACAGGCAAATATTTCCTAGGTAGGCATCAAGAGGCAGACACATTTTGATGAAGTTTTCCAGTATTTCAGGCTAAAGCATGAATTTGATATTGAAGTCTTAGTCCAAGTATTTGAGGTGTGGTAAGTAGAATCTTTACAGTGACAGATGGCATTAAAAATCATTTACCAGTCACATCTAGTCCATTTCAACTCTAACATATGCAATCAAAATACTATAGTTACTTAGATTCAGAGTCCTGAAGTTTATCGCTTTGATTATTCTGCTCCCGATAAATGCATTTTAATTCCAATCATTAAATAGAGAATGCATTTTAGTTCCTCAACTATTCTAAACACATCGCATGATAAGTCACTTCTCAGCTTCCTTGCATGGTACTGATTTTTGTTAAGGATTAGAGATTTAATATCAAATCAAATTAACTTATGAATTTGCAAAGCCATAAAATATTGTGAGAATGATTCATCAAAATTCAAGTAGTAGAATTTTTGTTATAATTCTATTAAGAATAATGGAACCAAAACAGTATGAGAATAACTGCACAAAAATTACTACACGCACTTACAGTTGCTGAGGCTATGAAAATGCTTGATAACAGAAATAGTGTTCACAGTTCTTGAGTGTTTACAATAGTAATTTTATTCTTTTTATTGTTCATACACCTGATTTTTTTTTAAACAAACACCAACCTTTCTACTGACCTATCAACACTCATTTCACCAGCTTACAAACCTTGGTTCATTTATAGCCTTTGATCACCATGGTACAATCAAAGTACTTGATCGACCTTTCTTCCAATTCTATGAGAAAAATCAACTCCATACTAAAAAAATCAACATGTTTATGCCTAAGGAGAGGTAACACGATATTACTTTTATTTTTAAGATTGCAAATAATAAAACTTGAAAATTTAGAGGGCTTTTTTTTACCACCTTAATTCGTCTATTTGACAGCACTATGCAAAGAGATGGCTTTCATTCATTTAAATTTGAATTTATTACTCCCCCCAAAGAAAGGAGGAAGAAAATAAAATAGCAGTCTCTAGAACATAACACCAATAAGATGCACCTCACCTCATGTGGGTATTTGCTATACCCTCTTTTTCCCATTATCACAAGGGCAGACTAGGATGAAAATGAACTGAAACGCATCACACCCAATTTCACATCTCAGTTGAGCTGACTTGTGCCAAATACAATACTGCACACTCAGCAAGAGTTCACATCTCAAATACTTTTGCCCTGAAGCGGAATAGGAAGACTCGGTAAAAAGACTAGCTTTTTCCCCACACTAACTGTGTATTATATGATTTAAGAAAGTAAATTAATGAGGAAAAAAATATGAAGAAACCAATTGGTTCATCAGTAATTATAACTTAATAATTAGCACTTACAGAGGAAGCATTTTTCTAAAACAATTCCACATAACTTTTAAGAAAGCACAAAAATTCAAAAAAATGTACCCCATTGTTGCTTTTCTTCAAGTGATTAGTTCACATACATATTTTAAAGTTTTGTAAGCAACTTTTCAAAAGGCAACAACTTTGCTTCCTTTTTTGTTTCACATTCCTGTTGATTTACCATTCACATAAGCTCTTTTGTATATACATATATATGCAGAATACCTGTGAGATTCTTGTTCTCCCTTCATTTTCTCTACTTTTGATAACATGTCATCTACTTTGAATGTTTTCCTGTGAGAAAAAGAGCAGAAAATAGTTTCACATTCCCATAACAACAAGAAAATTTGATTCACTTAATTTTCTGCCTATAACTGTCTACATATAGTCTTAGATTTCTACCCACAAAGCATCCTTTTTATACCTTTTTTAAGGGTAAGTAGTGCAACTGTGTCATAGGAATGCAACTACAATACAGTTTTTCAAAGTGTCAAAATATCCTTACTAAAATCAGAACTTTCAGAATAAATCCTACTGTTTTTAAGAAGTGTCATTTAACAGCATCACATTCAAACTCCTATAAAACTATCTAGTATCTCAGCTTTGCTCAGAGAGAAAATCCTCACACTTCATTGATGCTTATGCCAACTACACAGGTACAAGTTAGCTCTCCAACTATTGCTATTTCAACCTTGATTCTAAATATGAAAAACAGCAGTATTTGAAAACCTGATTATCCAAAAGGCTTCCTTCTCCACAAAGTTACATTAAATGGACACAAAACAACGAATAACGTACTTTGGAAGCCACTTGTTTGAATGCATTCATGCAAAACACTGAGAGGGAAAATCATGACTGCAATGCAGTAGGGAATATTCACTTCCTATCATTTCTCTCAGTAAATGCATCAATAACAGTACATCCACGCTCATATGTTCAGCTTATTCTACTACATAAACCCAACACAAACGTACATTGCTAAATAAAGTTCACTCACAAATAGATGATATTCAGTAGTTTCCAGAACAGTTTTAAATTTCTATTTAAAGGAAAATGAGTATTTGGCCCTAGATGCACCCCTCAAAATGCGTAACTAGACTGACAGTGCAACATTCGTACAGCCATGCTTACATTTTTTTTAGAGAATAAGATATGAAGTAATAATAATGAGAGCACACAAGCTGTTGTCAAATATTGGATTTCATACAAAAACAAGGGGTGCACTGTCTGCACCCATAAATCCCCTAAGTGAACGCAGGCAAGTTAAAAAGAAAAAGTAGTCTAGTCTTGACATGCACATTGCTTAAGCTTATCAAAATTAGCCGCACCACATTGATCTTGGCAAGGCTACTAGGGGATCTTACCAAGTCACTAACTTGGGCTAGACTAGAAAACTGGGTTCAGACTAGAGAATTGCTTAAAACACAGCTCTACAGAAAAAAATCTGTCATGACCTCAAATATGGGCTTGAAACATGGCTTGTGGACAGTTTCAAAACAGGGAACGGTTTAATGATCTTTGATAAGGTATACTAATATCCGACAAGGCTTGTATTTAGCATCTGTGAGTAATAGTGATACAACAAGAACAATGATTCAACCTTTCCAAATGCCAAGACAAGAAAAAGCCTCCTAAAAATCTTTTGGAACAAATACAAACAAAAACACAGTAAATCAAATGTGTTGAATTTGTATTAAATTTATAAGAACAGGGATTAAAGGAAGTTCCTTTAAATTACTATTTGTGTGTCATATTTCTAATCCAGTCAGACAAAACTTAATCATCCCTAGCACCCAGGATTTCAAAACGGCATACACTGGTGCTACAAGTACATGCATCTTGCATTCCTATCTCCACCCACTCTTACTCCACTCAAGCACAGTAATAATTAACAGAGTATTGAAAGTCACATCATAGCTTGCCACTCTGCCAATAATTAAATATATGCACACATATGTATATTTCTTTATTCAAACTCTTCATAGGCAGTCAGTTTTGTAAACAGAGCTACTAACCATTCTCAACTCCATCATTATCAATTCTCATCAGGGATCACTTTAGCAAAGCATATCACCTCTCAAAAAAAATTTGCAATACTTTAAAAAAAACAATATGGACTATTAGCCCAAGTTGACACATGTCCATTAACTTACTACATATTCACGTTTCTTTACATTTTAAACAACTTGGTCCTGACAAATATCCTTCATATAAAACATACAGATCAACATCAATGGATATTTTCTTGTTAAATTCCAATTTTATCACCTCCAAGTGATAAATTTGTCTGCCATTTACAGACTACTGTAGAGCTAGAGATAAAAAACGTGGAACTATAATTATATAGTTAAGTCGTATCAAGCTTCGAGATAATTTGTTTTACATACAATAACGTTAAGCGGCAGTCAACACAACACCAAATTAAAAAAGGCAAAATTTAAAAATCTTAGAAGGAAAACAAATAACATGCGTATACTGTAACCACCTATTCAGGCATGGTAAGGATGCATTTTCAGGATACATTAATTTGAAAATAAAACTCCACTAACATTTTTACTCTTTTGAAGTTTTCCAAATATAAATCTCAGTAAGATTTTGAAGTCCAATTCATATTTTTTCCTCTTTTAAAGCTTCTTGTTCACCAAAACGACAGGACCATATGTTAACTATTCCTATTGAATTAATAGCAACACGGCCATTGTGCACTTTAAAATGTGTTTGCCAGTATAGACCTGCCGACAACAGCCTTGCTAACCTTCTGTAGAAATCACACTAAAATTGTTTTGCCACGGGTCCTTCAATCAGTGCCATTCCCAGACCTAAATAAAACTACATTTAAACCACAGTATTCACCAGTTTAACTAGACCGCTTAGAATAAGGGCCATAGCATTAACATAGAATATGGAAAAGTTTAGGTAGTGGTGGGGCACATAAGAACACACTGATAGCTGGTTTGTGTCTTTTTTTCCCCTTTCTTTTCTTTTTCTCTCCCCTCAGCAAACACCCAGGAAACTAAACTAAATTGCTTCTGGTGCATTACTCTGTTTTTGTAAAGAGAGTATGTTTTACTTCATTCTTCCTACATCTAATTACCAAATTGATTTCAATAAGCCAATATTTTCTGAAAACTAGTGAGTGAAATGAACATTAATCTGTCTGTTATGGATCAAAACACTATCTAAAATAAAATCACCATTCTAAACCAGAGAATTATGGCTATTAGTAAAAAAAATCAATATGTTTCAAAGAGAAACTAAGCATTACTTGGGCAGCTGAGGAACAGAAATTTGGAACAGTGGACAACGCAATGTACATGCAAAGTACCAGTTGTTTCCCAGCAACTACAGGAGACATCCAAAGAAAGAGAACAAGACTCAGGTAAAAGAAGAACATATGCATATCATCCAACTATAATTTAGGACAAATAATAAGCAGAAACATGTTTTTGTTGCACATTTTGAAAAAGATATATATTGTTCCAGATACCTAGGTGACTTGCAGAAAAAGAATTAAATAAGTCCTAAACATTATTTCTTAAAATCTGGCTCTTAAAAAAAAAAAAAAAAAAAAAAAAAGCAGCAACTGCAAGTTAAAAAAAATCCAGTCAAAAGTTAAGATACATTCAAGATACATCAAGAAACAAAGTATTTCTTGCACAATTTTAAGACTAAGGTGGCAGTAACATTTATAACTAATGCCACCTTATTCCAAAATGGCAAGAAAAGTACTCTAAACACTAACCAAGAGATGTGAGAGCACCAAATACAGCCTATTTGATTCAAATAGAAGTGCCCAAGTTATTGTTCAACAAATAATCCAAAAGCTATCTTCCTTTGATACAAGTAAGTTTAAAATTTTAATTGCCTGGATAATCAAATTTTATTACTATTCCTTAAACATTCATGAATAAGCATTTCAGTCCCACAGCAACTGTTCCCAAGCAATATGAACTTCAGTGTTAAAAATTTTAAAAGTCTTTAAACTACAAAAAAAAAAGTATCATGAATGATTTACAGTGTGTTGGGGAAAAGAAAAATTGAAATAACTTTGAAATTGCGTTAATAATTACCTACAGTTATATCACACACTTTATGCATTTTATACTCAATTAACATGCAGTCATAGCACCCTCACATGAGTTGGATGACTGTTTTGCAACATCAAAATTGAAGCCCATTCCTCAGATGCATCCAGTTCAAAGCAAACAGCAGGTCACTTCACTATTTTTTGACTTCTACTACTTAGCTGTTATTTTAAGATTACTTTTCAAAAAGTAATTTTACCTTTTGATATTTGTTCGGGAGTTTCTATGGGACATGTAAGTGAGAGTTCTGTGCAAAAATATTGGCTGCAGAAAGAGAAATGAGAAAAAGAAATTAATATGCTTTAAAGTTTCCTATGAGCCCAAAGTAAAGGAGCAATAAAGACCAATTACTTACTGCTATGAGATTCCGGGTACGTAGAAATCTATATATCTGCGTTGGTTCTGAGAGAAAGAAATATATGTTACCTACCAGACCTTGCACCTCTAGAAATACAGCTTTATAATGATGAAAAAGTATCCAATTTAACCTTTTTTTTTTTTTACACAACTACTGAAATCACAGCTTACATGAAACATCATGAAGTCTATGTAAGCCTCAGTTAACAAGTCAAAGGTTACTCCACCTACTGTATAACATGAAGCAACTTCTTGTCTAAGCTACCATAAATCAGCATCACAACCCAGACAACTATGTTCTTGTTTTCCCTCGAACAAGAGGTTCCTCTAAGCCTTAAAGTCATAAAAAAGGCAGAAAAAAAGCTCAACACACTACAGTTTACTGTTGAACAGATGAGTCTTTTTCCCCTAAATAATGAACAGTGTGTCAGATATGATACCAAAATAGTATATTAAACCTATACAGTCAATTTTGTATCTAATTGTTTTATCCTTCTAGAAAATACCAAGGTCACTGACAAGCACAAGATACACCAGGGTGTGTCAATTACCTGTGGCACATTACAGATCATTTTAAGCCAGGAAAGTTGTTATTGTCTAGAACATTTTACATTTAAAGGATGCATTTATTCTGGTAAAGTAACTATTGTTCCAAATAGCAAACTGTTTGCTGGAAGATAATAGATCTGTGATCAATACTAACATGAAAGAGCAGCATCATTTGAAATAGGTGTAATATAAAGTTAAAAAAAAAAAAAGCAAGATTTGTCTACAGAAAAGAGAACCTTCAGTTTAGTTTTAAAATAAAGTGAAATCAATACAAAATAGTTTAGCTCTAGACTGGGTTATATCCACCAAGAACTTCAAACTGAACAAAAATATACTATTCTTAAACTAAGAGCCATCTTAATTTGATAAGGTCAGCAAGAGGCTTGGAAAAGGCTAGATAAAAGATGCCAAGGAAGAACGGGAGATGCAGGGCAGAGAAGGCTGAGTGCCCGTCCTGAGGCTGTCAGCACTGTCTCCTCTTCCCCAGAGAGAAACTAACCAACTAGTTATTTTGTAAGAAACAGCTGATTTTTATATTCCTGTGAAGTATTTATTTAAAACGATTGGAAATCATATTGTTATTTGTGGAATCCTGAAATCAGAACTGAACAAGGACAGCATTTTAAAATCCTTCATCCATTTTAAAAACACCATTCAACCTTATTTCTACACTTCAGAATGTATTGGTAGAAACGTGTTGTCTTTTTGAAGAGAAGGAAATCATAACCGATCTTAGTCATTAAAGAGTGTTTAAAACAATAAAATTCTGCTTAACACAAATTAAACATTACAATCATAAAATCTGTAGGTTTGAAATCAAGCCAAAAAAAAAGACATTAAGAAAGATGTGAACTTTGATAAAAAATGAAAATACTAAGCAGCCACAACTTGTAAGGCAACACTTCAGGCATTTCAGTCTGCAAAAAACATGGCATACGCATAATTTAGAAATATAAGAAAATATTAATTATGTTCTTAACCATGCAATATGTAACTTAAAGACAGCGCACTGCTGCTCGCACTTCAGTTTTCCTGAGCAGAAAATTTCTACAACACACTTTTAGCTGGAGACCTTTGCTTCACAAGTCCATGTTAGTTAAAAAAAATATATTTTTTAAAAAATATTTTTTTTCTATCATATGACCTTGAAAAGGGACAAAACCATTCAAGGAGAACGTGATTCAATTTTACATGTGCTAGGATTTCTTAATCCCGCACTTACTCATTGCTGTTTTCTCATAATCTCCGGACTACGACACGAGCTCATGGTGATGGATTTTCACCGTAACTTTTTCCCCATCCTGAGCTGGGGAACAGATTCTCCCCTAATCGCATCTCCGACACCCCACACTTCAGCACTGAGCAAAGCTCTTAAAGGTCCCGTTTATCCCTTGATCTATTTGCAGGAAGGCGTTTATTGATCACATTGCTGTGTTAACATGACTAAGAGTCAAAAAAAAAAAAAAAAAAGAAAAAGCGCCGGCGTCATTAAGGACCTGACACAGCACCCAAAACTCCAGCGTGTTATCAAGGCTGCCGCTACGCACAGCACACGGGTGCCGCGGTGACAGCACCGGTCCCACAACCGGACCATACATTTAGTTGTCTTTTTAGCGGGGCTTTCGAGATTCCCTGCAGACCTGCCCTTTGCTCGGGGGCCGCCTGGGATAAGGGCACACTTTATCACCACCCCGCGCTTTGCGGCCAGATTTCCGCCAACAACTTTCTGCAGCGCCCGGGACGGGGGATCCTCCTGGGGGCTGCAAGTGCCACGGGGCGACGCGTGGGCGGCGGGGCCGGTGCCGAGGCGAGACCCCAGCGAGGGGCACAAGCGGAGCAGACAAAGAGGGAGCGGGTCCAGCCCAGCGCTCGTCGCACCCGTGCCCCGAGGGGGCCCGTCGAGGCGGCGGGCGGGGAGCGGCGCGAGGCGGCTCCGCGCCGGGCGGCAGGAGGGGATGCGGGGAGGGGGGG